TCGTGAAAGTTACAACTAGCCCTCTGGTCAGATTACTGGGTTTCCAAGGTTGCTTTGCTGGGCCCTAAAGTACTCATAAGATCTGCAAGATGTATTAAGTGAAAGAAGCAATGTGATATATTTTATTTTATCATTTTGTGCCAAAAAGTGAAACTTTTTTTCAAGATTTTTAAAATTTTGTTTTAATTCCAGTGTAGTTTACATAGTACAATATAGTGATCTAACCGTTCCATACATCACCTGGTGCTCATCAAGATAAGTATACTCTTTTTTTTTTTTAAGATTTTATTTTATTTTATTTTTTTAAAGATTTTATTTATTTATTTGAGAGAGAGAGAATGAGAGACAGAGAGCACAAGAGGGAAGAGGGAGAAGCAGGCTTCCCGCTGAGCAGGGAGCCCGACGTGGGGCTCGATCCCAGGACCCTGGGATCATGACCTGAGCCGAAGGCAGACGCTTAACGACTGAGCCACCCAGGCGCCCCAAGATAAGTATACTCTTAATCCCCTTTCTCTATTTCTCCCACCCTCCCACCCACCTCGCCTCTGGTGACCATCTGTTCTCTATAGGTAAGAGTCTGCTTTTGGGTTTGTCTCTTTTTCTTCCTTTGTTCCCTTGTTTTGTTTTGTTTTGTTTTAGTTTAATATTTTTTTATTATGTTATGTTAATCACCAGACATTACATCATTCGTTTTTGATGCAGTGTTTAAAAAGAATATATGTTTGCATTTGCTTATTATGCATACACTATCGGTTGCCTACAGTTTCCCCATCTGTAAAATGTTGGTGATGGGATTTCATTAAATATTGCAAATATTAGAACAGTGCCTGGCACATGGAAATACCATTTTACTTGGATTCTCAATCCAAATAATTTCTTGGCTTAATCATATTCTAAAATACCCCTTTAAAGATGATTTTTTACTGGCACTGGCAAGATGAAAACGCGGCAAGCCACAGCAAAACGTAATTACTTAAAGCTGCTTTAAATTAGGCCCAATAGCAGAGTGATTAGCCAATACTGAAAGATGTTTGGTGAACCACAATTATAGATATCAAAGAACGATTGCAGTTCACCCTTTTACTAAGTTAATAACTAAAATCCTTTTTTCCCCCCTTAAAAGGGGTCATGCAGATGTTTACTACAATGTATTTTAACAGTTTACTACTCTAAATGGTATGAACAACTTTAAGGAAAATCTTAAACAAAATATGACCTTAGATTACAACCCCGAAATACATTTACAAGTCTCAACGTTACTGTTACCATTTTAAGTTAGTAAAAGGCACACCGTATCTGCTGTAAAGACGTGGGGAGACAAACTGCATTAGGATTTTGTTCAAAACACAGGGGCTAGGGAACAGGGCTTTTTAAAAACAGAGTATTTGCCTCAGTGGCCTCTAAAAAGAGGCCATGCCAAGGTGACGAAAACCGACTCCCACCCTGAGCCACGTGGGGTTTTCTGTCTCCTCCTGCGCGCTTTCTTCCGCAGTCAGAGGACCCAAGAAAGTGACCTCAAGGTGGGGGCGTGCCCGGGGGCGGGCCGGGGTGGCCTCGGTGCTGCGGAGACCCGAACTCGGGGGTCCCGGCCTGCCTATAGGTGTCCCAGCGCACCACTAGCGCGGGTCGCTCGGACCCAGGAGTGCGCGCCGGGGAGAGGCGGCCGAGGGTCCTCCTCGCCGCCTGGGACCGCGGCATCCTGCCGGCGCCGCCCCAGTCCCCCTTCCTCTGAATCTGGGGGCGCCCGGAGCCGCGCGCGACTTCCCCGGGACTCGCGGTCTCGTTGCGCTCTGACCCCGACCAAGACCAGAGGGGGACCTCTGCCCTCTGAGAAAAGGCATGTGGCTAGTATCTAAATCTAATTCACAATATGGCTCGAGATACCCCCACCCCTCGAAAGTCTGGACCTTTATCGAAACATGAATAAGAGCAACTAGTCGGTGGTGCCCAGTAGGTTACTTAGATATAAATCAGGGATATGTATAGTTTTGCTTTTCCTTAGGTTCTATTTTTAAAAAGGATTCTCTATAAGGTATTATACTTTATATGCTCATCTGCAATCACAGGACCTTGGAGAAAACTTGCTTACAATCTGGGATGGCTTTGGAGTCCTACTTTAATTTTCCTTTCTCTTCTGGGCATAATAATGCAAGTCCGGCTGTCTTTATTTGCTCCTGGAACATTCTTGGACCATTTTGTTACTTTATTTGGAATACTGGATTATTTTTTTTCACCATCCAAAAGAGCTGTAAGGAGGAAGTACTAGAAAAATTAAAAGGTGAGATTTGAATCAGAAGTTGTAGTTTTTATAAGCTCCTGCGGAAGTGTTTGTGTGCATCTATTAAAGAATTCCAGTGTCCAGCATAGTGCTGAATATACACACATATCTATAAAAATTACTGTTAGGGGCGCATTCGGCTCAGGTCGTGATCCCAGAGTTCTGGGATCCAGTCCCACATCAGGCTCCCAGCTCAGGGGCGAGTGTGCTTCTCCTTCCTTCTCCCTCTGCCCCTCTACCTGATCCTTCTCTCTTTCTCTTGCTCACTCTCAAATAAATAAATAAAATCTTTTTAAAAAATTACTGTTAGAATATAGTAGGTCCCTATTTTCAAACAATAATTCAACTGAAAGTACACATATCTCCAATTATTACAATTTTAGGATTGTATAAAAGTACTTAAGTTTGCAACATCACATTTTAATGAATTGTGCAGATTTCACAGAGGTCACTTTTCTCACTTATATTAAATGGAAATCATCTTTGATACTTTTCCCTCTTACCAACATCCACTTTCATTTTGACTTTTCTTTCTTAGATTAGATGTTAACTACAATTTTGGATTCCACGTAAAGCTTTCAAGTACTCAACTTTTAGTCTTCTTCAGTCTTTGCTTCCCTGCCTCATGTCATTTAACCATTTCTTTACGTTTTCAAAAATTTGCTATTCCTGTTAAAATATTTGTATGACCTAGTATTATCTCCAATAATGTTGAAACCTAAACCATTTGAGGCTTGCTCAAGAAGGCCTGGGAAATAATAAATCTAGTGTGGCATCCTAATCTTAATCTGACATAATACAGTGTGCGGTTCATATTACTATGATGTACAAATATGACTGATTGTGGGAATCTAGTTTCAAAGAGAATAGTCATTAATGTTTCCAAGGAAGTAAATAAGAGCAGAGGTATTTGCATTGTTCTATTGGTAGTGACTGATTTTAATTGGTATCTTACATTTTTATTATATTACAAACATTGACTAGCATATCAAGATGATTTTATTCCATATGTATATGACTGGGTAAGGGCACCAGGACAATGCAATGTGAAAAAAGAATTTATGAAACGAAAGAAGCTAGAAATATAGACATAGAAAAGGCTTTTTTGCTGGAAAAAGATTAGTTATATGAATTTCTAAGGAAACTTAAATATAGCCTAGTTTCTTTCATGAAAACTCAAAAAGAGAAGGCTAGAAACCTGCTAATGAAGAAATTTTAAAAAACCCTTAATTTTAGATGTTTATATCTACAAAGAGTGGTAAAACAAAAAGATATAGGAAGGTTATTCTGAAAGACTTATTTCATTTACAAAGAAAAAAAAGGATTGGGGTTGTGAGAAGTAACTGAAAGCTAGGACTAGAACTGTATTCCACAATGAAATAAAAAGTGAGTAAGCACCATACAAGTTTGCCTTTAACTGCTTCCCAGTTGTTTTATATATTAGTTTTCCTCTTCCAATTTGATTGTGGGTTCCTCTCCAAAAGGAAGTATTTCTTTTGTACATGCCACAGAACTTCACTTAGCCCTGGACACATAGTAGGTTTCAAGCATTGGTTAATAGATCGGCTGGAGGAGTTGCAGTGATGTTCCACACATGGAAGAGACATACTGACAGAGTAACTAGCTCATTAAAAATAAAAGTTCTTTCTTGAAAGGAGTATTTTTCAGTCTGCCCTGATTGTCAACCAAAAAGGCCTTATCTGGTTTCACCCCCGATTTATGCTAAAATTTAGTTAAAATCAATGGGACGACAGAAAATGGGCCACTTTTTGGAAGCAGTGATTTCACAGCAAGTGTTGAGGATAGGTAACTGGGTGGATAAGCTTGCTGATGCTGTAGATCTTAGTTTCTGCATGAGATCATGTGGAAAGACTGAATTTGAAAAATTCTTTTTAGGTTTCTCATCCTAGCAATCAAATGAGTGTACACTGGAAGGAAAATGTACCACGAGAGTAGACACACACAGGGTCTTTTTATAGCGTAATAAAACTAGAGTTAAAAGGCAAACTGTGGGATTGAAATCTATTCTAAACTGAAAAACCAGACGTCTGGAGTACCATATGGGGTGAACGTGTGATACGGGCTTCGATAAAAGCAGCGGGCTTTGAATGGAACAGACCAAGAGGCCAGCCCAAGAGCATATTCGTCCTGGTCACGGCCACCAAGTTGAAGCCATTACGGATTGTCGGGCTGTGAAGGCCGGCCTTTGAGTCCTCCGACGCCCCTCCGCCCTGAGTGCGGGGGCCTTGTACGCCTCTCCAGCCCGGAGGGGATCTGAAGGCAGAGACCGGGGAGGAGCCAGCCCGGGGCGGACCTGCGACGAAGGAAGGAAGCGGCTCAAAGGGGCTGTCCCAGACCTTCGGGAGCACTAGGCTAAGAACTGGAGGTATACGGCCGAGGGAAAGCATACTCCAACCTCCACACCACCTTTGCAGTTAAACCAGGAATCGCACATGGAAGATTCTGTACTTCCCCGCTGGGCCGCCTCCTCGCCGCCCGCCCCCGCCCCTCCCAGCTGGAGCTGAGAGTAATTCATACAAAGGAGGACTCGCCTCTGCCATGGGGAATCCCAGGGACCGTCGTTAAACTCTCGCTAACCTAGAACCGAGGGATCGCTGGTCCCCGCCTCCTCACTCCCTCGCTCTCGTCGTCATCGGGGTCGAGAGGAGCATGCGCGAGGCGATGTGTGCTCTTCAGTGGGCTGAGCGTACATCGCCCACGGTCCCCGAGAAGTAGGGGGAGGGGACGGCGATTGAACGGGTGCCTGATGGAGTTGGCGCGGGGTAAACTGGGAAAGTGGTGTCGTGTGCTGGCTCCGCCCTCTTCCCCGAGGGTGGGGGAGGACCGTATATAAGTGCCGCAGCCGCCCTGAACGTTCTTTTTCGCAACGGGTTTGCCGCCAGAACACAGGTGAGTGCCGGGTGTGGCTTCCGCGGGCCTGGCCTCTTTGAGACGGCTGCGGCCCTCGCGTGCCTTTTACAACTGCCGCGCCACCGAGCCACTTTACGATGTTCTTGACCCCGAATTTCGGGTTGTGAGTAGGTGGGAAGGTTCGAGGCCTTGCGCTTTTTTTAGGATCCCCTTCGCCTCGTGGTTGGTTTGCGGCCTGGCTTGGGTGCTGTGGCGGCCGCGTGCGAGTTCCGCCGCACCTTATTGCCTGCCCTGATAACAGTCGTTTAAGTCTCCAAACAACGGAACTATCCAAAAAAAAAAAAAAAGCCGCTATGGTTTCCTCCGTCGGCATAGTTCAGCGAAGGTTGTTCAGGATTTCCACAGGGTGGGCTCTTTGGCGGTCGTTGGGTCCTTGGGATTGTGGGGCCGCTGCGAGGCGCGGAGGGCGGCGGCGAGGCCCACTCGTCCCGGCGCACATGTCCGACGAGCCGAGGGGGGCCCACGAGCCGTGGCCACCGAGTCGGACGCGGGAGAGTCCCGTGGAGTGGGCCGGGCGGCTTTGGTGCCCAGCCTCGCGCCGCGATATGCCATCCCATCCCGGGCGGCGAGGCCGGCCCCGCTCGGCACCAGTTGCGTGCGCGGAAAGATGGCCGCTCTCCGGCCCTGCTGCAGGGAACTCAAAATGGAGGACGCGGCGGCCCGGGAGAGCGGGGCGGGTGAGTCACCCACACAAAGGAAAAGGGCCTTTCCCTCTTAGGCCGCTGCTTCCTGTGACCCCACGGTGTACCGGGCGCCGTCTTGGCACCTTCGTTTCTTCTCAACGCCTTGGAAGCAGGCCTTCCTCGGGGGAGGGGATTTTATGCGGTGGAGTTAACCCCACGCTTAGTGGGTGGAGACGAGAGTTGGGCCAGTTTGGCACTGGTTGTAATTCTCCTTGGAATTTGCCCTTTGCGAGTGCGGGTCGTGGCTTATTCTCAAGTCTCTGGGACAGTAGTTTAAAGGATTTTTTTTTTCTTCAATTTAGGTGTCGTGAAAACCACCGCTCAACCTAAACCAAAATGGGAAAGGAAAAGACTCACATCAACATCGTCGTCATTGGACACGTAGATTCGGGCAAGTCTACCACTACTGGTCATCTGATCTACAAATGTGGTGGGATCGACAAAAGAACTATCGAAAAATTTGAGAAGGAGGCTGCTGAGGTAGGTCCAATAAAATAATGAGAAAAGTAGTTCAGATAAGTCAGCAAGTGTTAACATCCGCAAAACTAGTCACTAGTTTGTATCTGAATGTCCTACATAAGGCGGAATAAACTAGTGTTTGCTGTTAGTTATCTATGTAACTTTGGGACCTAAGTTAAAGCCACCTAACAGGTGTAAAGTGGAATTCAGCGTTTCTGCTTAAGGTGGGAGTAAGGGATTTCAAGGTGAAGTTTGATCATGTTTCAGTTACCAAGTAACCATTTTTAATCCTTACAGATGGGAAAGGGCTCCTTCAAGTATGCCTGGGTCTTGGATAAACTGAAAGCTGAACGTGAACGTGGTATCACCATTGATATCTCCCTGTGGAAATTCGAGACCAGCAAGTATTATGTGACCATCATTGATGCCCCAGGACACAGAGACTTTATCAAAAACATGATTACAGGCACATCTCAGGTTTGTAGGATTAATAACTTGAAAATAACTGTAGGCTTGCATTCTGCGTCAGAAAAGAGGTGAGTTCATTCTTTTGAAGAACATTTAACAGGATAGGTCTTGTTGTCTTTTAAAGGCTGACTGTGCTGTCCTGATTGTTGCTGCTGGTGTCGGTGAATTTGAAGCCGGTATCTCCAAGAATGGGCAGACCCGTGAGCATGCCCTTCTGGCTTACACCCTGGGTGTAAAACAACTAATTGTTGGTGTTAACAAGATGGATTCCACTGAGCCACCCTACAGCCAGAAGAGATACGAGGAAATCGTTAAGGAAGTCAGCACCTATATTAAGAAAATTGGCTACAACCCCGACACAGTAGCATTTGTGCCAATTTCTGGTTGGAACGGTGACAACATGCTGGAGCCAAGTGCTAACGTAAGTGACTTCAAGACTTCTATAGAAAGCGATGGAAGGGGCAGATTTTGACACTAAATGACAACCGTTTGAGGAATGCTAATGGACAATCTTGTTTTAGATGCCTTGGTTCAAGGGATGGAAAGTCACCCGTAAAGATGGGAATGCCAGTGGAACCACACTGCTTGAAGCTCTGGATTGCATTCTGCCACCAACTCGTCCAACTGACAAGCCCTTGCGTCTGCCTCTCCAGGACGTCTACAAAATTGGTGGTAAGTTGAACATTACTATCAGAATGTAATTAGTATGGGTTGCGGTACTTTCTTCACATAAGGTATTTGACACCACTTGTAAATATTTTAGGTATTGGTACTGTCCCTGTGGGCCGAGTCGAGACTGGTGTTCTTAAACCTGGCATGGTGGTCACCTTTGCTCCAGTCAATGTTACAACTGAAGTAAAGTCCGTTGAAATGCACCATGAAGCTTTGAGTGAGGCTCTTCCTGGGGACAACGTGGGCTTCAATGTGAAGAACGTATCTGTCAAAGATGTTCGTCGTGGCAATGTGGCTGGTGACAGCAAAAATGACCCACCAATGGAAGCAGCTGGCTTCACAGCTCAGGTAACACTATTTAAAGTGGCAGTGTTCTCAACTTAACTGCCAGAATCTTGCTTTTAGAGATTTATTAAATGCAAATCTTTCCTCCAAGGTGATTATCCTGAACCATCCAGGCCAAATCAGTGCTGGATATGCCCCTGTGCTGGATTGTCACACAGCTCACATTGCTTGCAAGTTTGCTGAGCTGAAGGAGAAGATAGATCGTCGTTCTGGAAAAAAGCTGGAAGATGGTCCCAAGTTCTTGAAATCTGGTGATGCTGCCATTGTTGATATGGTTCCTGGCAAGCCTATGTGTGTTGAGAGCTTCTCTGACTATCCTCCTCTGGGTAAGGATGACTTTGAGCGTATTAGGAAATTACAAGCTGGAAAATACTGCTTGTGTGGAGAGTTTCTGATGGTCTAAAATTTGTTTTAATAGGCCGTTTTGCTGTTCGTGACATGAGACAGACGGTTGCTGTGGGTGTCATCAAAGCAGTGGACAAGAAAGCAGCTGGAGCTGGCAAGGTCACCAAGTCTGCCCAGAAAGCTCAGAAGGCTAAATGAATATTATCCCCAATACCTGCCACCCCAGTCTTAATCAGTGGTGGAAGAACGGTCTCAGAACTGTTTGTGTCAATTGGCCATTTAAGTTTAATAGTAAAAGACTGGTTAATGATAACAATGCATCGTAAAACCTTCAGAAGGAAAGGAGAATGTTTTGTGGACCATTTGTTTTTTTTGTGTGTGTGTGTGGCAGTTTTAAGTTATTAGTTTTTAAAATCAGTACTTTTTAATGGAAACAACTTGACCAAAAATCTGTCACAGAATTTTGAGACCCATTAAAACAAAAGTTTAATGAGAAACCTGTGTCTTCTTTTGGTCAACACTGTAACCTTGTATAGTACTATTCAGGTAAAAGTAAGTGTTGTGCAGACCCTGTTTCTAATGTTAAAATAACGCTGAAACTTAAGTTTGGGTTAACGTTTTTTTCATGGGTGGAAACTTGAACATTTTTACCTTGTCTAAGGGAAAAAAGCTATGGGGAAAGGGGGTCTGTTGGTGCAACACAGAACAGATAAGCAAAGAGTAACACCACAAGATAGTTACAAAACAGGTTAAATTCTGTAATACCAAAGTCTGTTGCATATAAGACTTTTATTATATCCCGTGGGGTAAACTTGATATATTGTCACACTTAGTTTCCCAGTTACTGGAATGCTTTGTTACATAAATACGTAGTTTAAAGTACCCTAAAACAGGCATTCAATAATGTTTTACTTAATGGTAGAGTTAATTGTATCTAGGTTGTAGAAGAAAGTCTACTGGAAGTTTACTGTCACTTAAGAACTAGAAATCCACTTCCCGATAGGAATTTTCATCTTTAAAGAGCAAGGTTGGGTGAAGAGTCGTCATGCACTGGAGATTATTAACCAAGGTTTGAAGAGGTGCAATGGGAAATAATGAGAGGATCCATTTTGGAGTGGAGTGCAGGGTAAGCTTTGTTTTTAGTTTGTAAAGGTTTTGGAGGTCTTGATAAGTGTCACTCCAAAAACAATAGGGAATATTGAAAGATGACAGTTGAACAGGATGAAAAGCGAGCTCTTTAAAAATTAACTTTAGAACTTAAAAGAATTCAGTGTTTGGTAAATCAACAGTGTTTGGGAGTCAACCATCTAATTCTTGGCTTTGGATAGCTGGTAAATATCTCGAAACACTGGTGCATTTGATAATCTTGACCATTTGAACATTAATTCCCTGAATAGGCTTTTGCTTACAAAAGAAGTTTATCAGGCAAAAAGTAACAGGATGTGTCCTATTTTATAAGGTGAACAGTGCTAAGGGAAATATCCATAGGTGAGAAAGGACTGCAGTTGAAAAAATTTTCTCATTTAGTTCTAAGTTAGGTAAAATGGTCATAATGGTACTACCAGGGGCACTGATGAGGTCTGTAAAACTAATAAAAGATTTTGTCCACAACTTCCAAGATTTTTCACTTATTTGAACAAATGTGCTTACTGTTTAGAGTTAGAGAAGATGATCCAGGTAAGGTTCCTAAAAATCAATAAATGGTAGCTGACATAAAGTGTTTTGAACTGTAATGTTAACTGTAAGGGATTTGTTCCACCTCGTAGAACTCAGAACTGCAGAAAATTGCTCCCACTAAGGGGAAGGGTAGGAAGGAGAGTGGGGTAGTGTCCAGAAAAGCTTCAGTTTGGCTAGTTCGGATGCTTAACTCCATAGAATCTAATACGGATGTGCCATTGTCTGGTTTGAGCACCACCTACTGGTGTTCACTACAAATTAGTTTGAAACCTGAACTTAATAATAGCATTTGTACTTCAGCTTTAATTTTTTTTTTTTTTTTTTTGAGAGAGTGCACGAGAGGGGGTAGGGTCAGAGGGAGAAGCAGACTCGGGAGCCCGATGTGGGACTCGATCCTGGGGATGTGGGACTCGATCCTGGGGATGTGGGACTCGATCCTGGGGCTCCAGGGTGATGACCTGAGCCAAAGGCAGTTGCTTGACTGACCCACCCAGGGGCCCCTCTGCTGAGTTTTATATACTAACTGCATTTTGTGTTTGAATTGAGTAAAGTTAGTGTTTTTATAAGGCCCGAATGCTTCAAACTAGTGTTTGACCTTTATGTTTTAAATTGGCAAGCTGTTAAATTATCCATGTTTGTAAGGAATCTCAGGTGGGAGCTTGTTGAAATTTGTCCCAGGAATTCTGGTGTGATTACAGAATATGAAACGGGAAAGGCTTTCTGGTTTAGGAGTTAAAACAGATTGTCAGTAGGGCATATCTGATTTTTTTTTAATTATTCTGGTTATTCATCCAATGCCCAGAATAGGCAGTCAAAAATAAGTTTTCAGCCAGATCAGAACTCAATTGTATACCTCTAACACTTGGTCATTTTACCTCCCAGGAGCATTCCGCCCAGTAATGGTTATTGGCTGTACAAATGGTGCAGAGTCCTTGATTTTAAGTAGAGTTTAGTTACATGGGGTGTAAAAACTCTGATGACTATTACAAAAACTGTTTTATGTGTATTTAAATTGATTTACCTTGTTAACCTTTTCTGCTGAGTTGAGCATGGAGCTCAACCCAAAACAAACTTTTTGTGGCCATAGTAGTCACAATACCTGAAATGGGCAACTCTAGAAAAAGGGTGACAACTAATTTCTTGTGTGTTAATGTGGCTTTACATATGCTTTAGGTTGGTACTCAAATGTTTAGTTCATTTGTTACCACAAAATGCTGCAGAAATAGATTCAGTCCACTGAAAGTTAAGATACATTCTGGAGTTAACCTGCAGCCTCCAGGGAGTGAACAGTGAGATCTAGGTCCTGCAAGGGAGGAGTGCATGATGTTTTGGATGAGAGGAGTAAGACCTGTTTCCCCCTTTCTTTGTTTACCTTCCTGAAGCTTTCTTTCCTGATCTGTTTTATCATAATGTCTTTTTCCACTACCAACCCATAGGTTCTTTTTCATCTAGGTGGTATCAAAGTCGCCTCCATTATTTGCAAGTCTCTGGGAATTTCCTTGATTTCTTGAAACTGCTACATGTTTCCTGAAAGGTAGTTGACCCCTGATCCAATGGAAATCTTTGAGAGGGATCATATGATTTTTGTCCTTTTGTTTTCTAAACAGATAGGACCTAAATGTGATGTCCATCAGTCACTAGCAAAAAGTGAAATAAGGAAAATGGCATTGACTTTGGACTGCCCTTAAAGGGGCCCATGGGTATCTTAAGAGTTTAGAGCTCTGGTTTCTGTGGGAGAGACCTCATGATAACAAAGATAATGCTAAGTTAATGTTACAGTTACTTCCCAAGTAAGCAAAAAATATTAGGAAGCTTTTACTAAGCAATTTAAAGGTTTTTCCTTACTTTCTTAAGGTATTTACATACAGTTAAAATTCACCCATTTACACAATTTTGTAATTTTTTTTTTAAGATTTTATTTGAGGGGCGCCTGGGTGGCTCAGATCAGATGGTTAAGTGTCTGCCTTCAGCTCAGGTCATGATCCCAGGGTCCTGGGATGGAGCCCCACATCGGTTTCCCTACTCAGTGCAGAGTCTGCTTCTCCCAATACTGTTCCCCCTGCTTGTGCTCTCTCGCTCTCTGTCAAATAAACGTTAAAAAAATTTTTATTTGAGAGAGCAGGGGGAGGGGCAAAGGGACAAGCAGACTCCCCACTTGAGCCCTGACCCAACCTGGAGCTTGATCCCAGGACCCTGAGATCATGATCTGAGCAAAAGGCAGATGGTTTAACCAACTGAGCCACCCAAGCACCCTTAATTTTAAGTTTTGACAGATGTATAGTTCACCACAATCAAGGTATAGAACAGTTCCACCATCTCCCTCCCCACCCTCCCCCACCGAAATTACCCCGTGCCTCTTTGTAGTAAACCCACTCCTCTATAAGTCTTGGTAACCACTGATCTATTTTCTGTCCCTATAATTTTGTTTTGGCAGCAATGTCATACATGAGTCATACAGTATAGGCCTTTTTTTTTTTTCCACTCAGCATGATGAATTTGATTAATCTCTTTCACATGTATCTGTAATCTCTTCTTTTAGAAGATTCATTTGAGAGTGTGTGGGCATGAGCTGGGGGAGGGGGCAGAGGGAGAGGGAGAGAGAATCTCGAGCAGACTCACTGCTGAGCACCAAGCCTCATGACCTGAGCTGAAGTCAAGAGTTGGGCACTTAACTGAGTCACCCAGGCGCCCCTGTAATCTGTTGCTTTTTAATGGGACAGTTTATCCATTCCCAGCTGGGGGACATTTAGTTTCCAGTTTTGGAAGATTATGAATTGAGCCACTTTAAACATTCACATGTAGGTTTGTGTATGACTATAGGTTTTCATCTTGTGTAAATACCTAGCAATGAGATCATTGGATTGTACGGCAAATGTATGCCTTTTATAGGAAACTGCTAAACCTTTCCAAAGTGACTAAACCATTAGTAATCAATTTCTTAAGGGAAGTTTTTAGTTTTATTTTGCTGTGGTTAATTTTTTTAAGGAAGAAAAGTGTTAGATTCTATAGATCAATGAAGGATTATTCTTATTTTTTTTAATTGTGCCTACAAAGTCATATTATTCTAGGCACTGGGGATAGAGTTGTGAACAAAATGGACAGGTCTTCCCCTTTGAGTTTATAATCCAGTGGGGGAGGTAGAGATGAGCATAAAGTAATTCTGAGTTGTGATGATGTTATGAAGAAAAGGATACTATGAGGGGTGTCTGGGTGGCTCAGTCGGTTAAGCATCTGCCTTCACCTCAGGTCATGATCCCAGGGTCCTGGGATCGAGCCCCGCATTGGGCTCCCTGCTCAGGGAAGCCTGCTTCTCCCTCTCCCACTCTCCCTGCTTGTGTTCTCTCTCTTGCTGTGTCTCTCTCTGTCAAATACATAAAATCTTAAAAAAAAAAAAGATACTATGAGGGTGAAGAGTAAAAGGGACACAATTTGGATTGGCTAGAGAAGGTACTTGTCAGGAATAATGGAGATCTGAAGGACAAGTAGGAGTTATTGGAGCATATGAAAACATTACTTTTTTTTTTTTTTAAGATTTTATTTATTCATTTGACAGAGGCACAGCGAGAGAGGGAACACAAGCAGGGGCAGTGAGAGGGGGAGTGAGAGAGGTAGAAGCAGGCCTCCCGCTGAGCAGGGAGCCCAATGTGGGGCTCTATCCCAGGACCCTGGGATCATGACCTGAGCCGAAGGCAGGCGCTTAATGACTGAGCCACCCAGGCGCCCCTGAAAACATTTCTTCTTAGACATTTTTTTTTTTTAAGATTTTATTTACTTGACAGAGAGTGCAAGTCCAAGCAGGGGGAGCTGCGGGCAGAGGGAGCGGGAGAAGCAGGCTCCCTGATGCAGGGCTCAATCCCAGGACCCCGGGATCATGACCTGAGCCGAAGGCAGACACTTAACTGACTGAGCCACCCAGGCGCCCCTATTTCTTAGACATTTAAATGTCTATATTTTAGCCTCATAACCATTACATAGAATCAGAAAAAATCTAAAGAATCTAAAAGCCTTTTTTAATCTCAAATCAACTTTGAAGTATATTCATTGAAATCTCCACTTGATTATGTCATCGCTGTGGATATCATATATTGGAGGGCAGAGACCTCACAACACATTAGAGATGGCAGACAGGTATAGAGGGTGGCTCCTAAATCATCCTATTGCTGAGGATTTTTTTTTCTTAATTCATTATATTTCCTTGATGGTAACTTTTAATATACTTAGGCTCTCATCTAGGATAATTGAACTATTTCATTCTATTTACAGGAACCACTAATTTAAGATGCCCTTTTTAAAAAAAAATTTTAAGTAATCTCTACACCCAATATGGGGCTCGAACATGACCCTGAGATCAAAAGTCACATGCTCCTCCAACTGAGCCAGCCAGGTGTCCCCAATTAATACCCTTTAGTCACTCTGAGCTAAACACTTAACAGCTGTTTCTTAACCTTAGGTCACATGGTTTCTAGATTCTTTCCATACCATTCTCCTTTCTAGTTTATAGCTTTTTTTTCCCCCTGTTTATGGCTTTTAAAGTGCGTGCGCCAAAATTAAATATATTATAGCTGTGGATGCTTAAGTGGATGTAGATGTGATCTCTTAATGTAGAGTGTGCTTTTATTGACCCAAGAGATAAGTCACCTTATTTGGACTCTAGTTTCCTAAATTGATGCATTTGGACTAGATGATCAGAGTAGTTTAAGTGGGGAGAAGCTGTCCCTTTCATCATTTGTCTAATGGGCATAATACTGTCCCATTTCTTGGGATTGTTGTGAAGATGAAATGAGTTAGTGGATATAGACTCTGTACCCAGTACCTGGCCTATTGTAAACAGCCAATAATAAAAGGTAGCTTTTATTATAGCTGTTTGGAAGATCAGTTGCTGTAAAGCAACTCGGTGGTACTTTTGGATTAAGGTCAACAAATATCACCTGATTATTTATTTATTTTAAAACCCTCTTGGATTTTTTTTAAAAGATTTTTTATATTATATATATATAATATTTTGAGAGAGAGTGAGAGAAGGAGCAGGGGGAAGGGCAGAGAGAGGCAGACTCCCCAGTGAGCAGGGAACCCTGACCTGAGCCTAAAGGCAGATGCTTAACCTACTGAGCCGCCCAGGCGCCCCATTACCTGATTTTTTAAATGTAAATTATACTTTAAATCTCCTTTAAACTATTTGCTTTGTGAAGCTTTTTTTTTTTTTTAAGATTTTATTTATTTATTTGACAGAGACACAGCAAGAGAGGGAACACAAGCAGGGGGAGTGTGAAAGGTAGAAGCAGGCTTCCAGCAGAGCAGGGAGCCCAGTGCGGGGCTTGATCCCAGGACCCTGGGATCATCACCTGAGCCCGAAGGCAGACGCTTAACAACTGAGCCACTCAGGCGCCCCTGAAGTTTTTTGTTTTTTTTTAATAACCTTTTATTTTTGGAGTAACTATCCTATTTTTGCAACTTTTCTATAAATCTAGAGTTCCTGTAGACACCCTCACCTAGTTTGTTTCCCCTAATGTTACCATCTTGTCCTACCATAGTACATTTGTCAAAACTAAGAAACCAACATTGATATGTTACTATTAATCTCCAGGCTTTATTCAGATTTCATCAATTTTTTTTTAATGGCCTTTTTCTGTTTCAGGATCCAATCCAAGGCACCACTGTTTTGGTTACTTTTAAAAACTCAAATGTTGGGAGTTTATATTTATCTCCGCTGTATCTCATCTTGAGGTAATTTTGAATCTGGAACCTGCTATCTAGCATGTTAAATAAAAGTATGGACTTTGTTATTTATACATCTGATATTTATAATGTATTTCTGTAAGTTTTACATAAATTATTGATAAATACTAAACAAACTAGCTCCAGAAACAGACCTGAGGTATTGCACTATAGAACTGTTCTTTGATTATGATGGTCCAGCCAATTGCAAATTCACCTAATATTTAATAATCCAGGTCATATTTCACCATTTTGATCACAAGATAATCATGATGAAAAATTTGGCAAATGCTTGGTAAAAGCAAGGTGAAATAGGTAATAGCTTTAAATTTCCTTTCCCTTTTTCAGCAGACAAAAATAATTGCTGTGCCACTTAAGGTCAGTCAAGGTGGGAGTAAAATCTGTACTAGGAATTTAAATTTCTTAACTAATCATGATTTACTTAAATGAGTTGTTCTAGCTTTTGTCAAAATTTACATCCAGAAGTGATCAAAATAGCAACATATGCAGTCTGGATATTCCCTGTAACACAATCTTTTGAGACATTGTCTAAGATGTAGGTTATTGTTTTCATAAAGCAGATTAGATTTGAAAATAGACGTAAGGGGCGCCTGGGTGGCTCAGTTGTTAAGTGTCTGCCTTCAGCCCAGGTCATGATCCCAGGGTCCTGGGATCAAGCCCCACATCCAGCTCCCTGCTCAGCGGGAAGTCTGCTTCTCCTCCCTCTTCCACTCCCCCTGCTTGTGTTCCCTTTCTCGCTGTGTCTCTCTCTGTCAAGTAAATAAATAAATAATCTTTTTAAAAAAGAAAGAAAATAGACGTAAGTCAAAAGTAGGTAGTTTCATTTTTAGAATATTCTAAAGAGAATAATTGGCAGCTAAGACGACAAGATTTTATGGTGTGATCCTGCAAATGTGGTTTCTAGATGTTAAAGGACTTGGTTAAATTTTTAGTAAAATCTTGTGATTAGGGGAATATTCTAAGTTGGTGGTGTGATAAACTGTAGGGTTGCCACATAAGCAATTTGAGTTTTGAGTTCCTGGGCTGTCTGGAGCCACCCAAACTGAGGAAGTGGTTCTCTCAAACTTTTTTTTTTTTCCTTTTTTTTTTTTAGAGATTTTATTTATTTGTCAGAGAGAGAGAGAGAGCAGCAGGCAGAGGGAGAAGCAGGCTCCCCGCTGAGCAAGGAGCCCAGTGCAGGACTCAATTCCAGGACCCTGGGATCATGACCTGAGCAAAGGCAGCCGCTTAACCAACTGAGGCACCCAGGCCTCCCTCTCTCAGCTTTCTGATGAGAGCATCTGCAACATTTTCTGAGGCTTGGGCTGTAACCATTTTAGTATAAGGGGTGCAACTGGATCATTGCAACAAAGGAAGGGCGTGACCGAGACTTGACCTGCAGCCCTTCTCTTTAGCTATTGTCAAAACTTGATTGACCCTTTGGACATGTCTCTTGAGCCTCTTCAAGATTCTGTGTAGAGCTGGCAACTCAGTAAATGTCTAACAAGAAATGAGGTGATTTTTATTCAGTTGGGTAGAGGGAACATTTTCTTATAGCTAAATCTTTTTTTTGTTTCTTTAAGATTTTATTTGAGGGAGAGAGACTGCGTGAGCCAGGGGAGGACCAAAGGGAGAGGGAGATCATCTCCAGCAGACTCCCCACTTAGCCTGGAGGTCACGACCCAGAGAGATCATGACCTCAGCCAAAACCAAGAGTCGGACTCTTCCTTTTTTAAAGATTTTATTTATTCATGAGAGGCAGAGGCAGAGGAGAAGCAGGGAGCCCAATGCGGAACTCATCCCAGGAGCCTGGGATCATGACCTGAGCTGAAAGCAGACGCTTAACCAACTGAGCCACCCAGGCGCCCCAAGAGTCGGACTCTTCACTGATTGAGCCACACAGGCACCCCTGTAGCTAAATCTTTATATTGAGGTTAGAGAATGCATCTCTTGGAACTCAGTTTCTCATATTTTATGTAACTGTTGGTGAATGTTTTTCTTCAAAGCTGAAATTTGTTAAACTGCCCTCCCTCCACCTTTAAGTTCTGTGTGAAGTTGGAAATACAGAAAATTCAGTAAATTTCCTTTTTCATTGCTTGAAACATGGCATGTGTGCTGGTGTTGTCTTACATACAGTCTAGAATGTTTCCTTTTAAGTTTAGATGGTCCTTTTTTTTTTAAGATTTTATTTGTTTATTTGACATACAGAGACATAGCGAGAGAGGGAACACAAGCAGGGGGCGTGGGAGAGGGAGAAGCAGGCTTCCCGCAGAGCAGGGAGCCCGATGCGGGGCTCGATCCTAGGACCCCGGGATCATGACCAGAGCCGAAGGCAGACACTCGATGACTGAGCCACCCAGGCGCCCCTACACAGTCCATTTTTTATGTTTCTTAACATGTTTTAAATTTTGATTGTTGTGTTTTAAATAGTGTAGACCAACTCTGAAAGAGAATTCAAAGAGCAACCAACATAAAGACTAAATTTGAATTATGAGGCACTGGATTTGAAAAGTAGTTGTTTAGCCTAGCAAACACTAGAAGAGTATTATTGTCTTCAAGTACATGAAGAATATTGTAAATCTGCAGAGAATGCTGTTCAGAGTGAAAATCACATTCTAAATTCCCCTATAGCCTCTAAACTCTGAGGTAACACTTAGATTGAGTGCTGTCATGGTTCATTAAGCATGGCAACTCCATAAATGTTTAGCATGAGATAGGCTACAAAGTGTGGGAGTGGGAGGGAATTGAAGGTTAAGCCCAGAGAAGGAGATTGTTTAGGAGAGCTGGAGAAACTTCATCTAGTGGAGGACTTCTGGTCCTTAGGAGGAAAAAAAAGTCACTGAAAGTGGCAGAAAGGTATTGTGAAGTCGGAATAGCTGAGGTCCATGCCCAACAGCAACTTGCAATTATACTTTAATCACATCACCTAGCCATGCTATAGCATAGGAGAGATCGATAAGTTTTTCCTACTTTGAGAAATACACACATGTTAAAGAATCCTAATATAGGGGTGCCTGGGTGGCTCAGATGGTTGAACGTCTGCCTTTCTCTCAGGTCATACTCTCCAGATCCTGGGAATGAGCCCCATGTTGGGCTCCCAGTTCAGCAGGGAGTCTGCTTCTCCCTCTCTGCCTTTCCCCCTGCTTGTGCACACACGCTCTCTCTCTCTTTCTGCCTCCCTCCCTCAAATGAATAAATAAAATCTTAAAAAAAAAATCCTAATATATTGGGGCTTTCCCAGTAGGGAGTAGTGCTATTATTTAAACAGATTGGTCTTTTTCAAACCTTTTTGACTAGGATCCATAGTAAGAAATATATTTTCTATTGCAACACAGTATAACAGTATTTCATTGCATCTAAGATGTTTTCAGTTGGAAGTCACAAATGCTGCCAATTTTTTTTAAAGATTTTATTTATTAAAAAAAAAGATTTTATTTATTTATTTG